TTTCCCCTGCCCCTTCCCAAGATATACTTTTCAGTTCAGAAGAGTAAGTAAAGTTTTTTGTGCCTGATTGAGATCAGTAAATAATGATTTGTTATACACTGTATTAAGAGATTACAGTTTGCATGTGATGTACACGTAAACTTGGCACTAAAAAGTGTAAGTGTTAGATTGTTTAGGGCTTGAAGAATCCAGAAGGATCGTATGCGTCCCATGGACCCTAAAGAGACAAAAATAAGGAAGAGATTAAGAAGACAAGGAGTGATATCAAAGGCATTATCTAATGATTGTAACAAAGGAGTAAATCAGATAAGCAGCTGTTTATATTGCAGACAGAGTACATTTATAAACAGAATGGGAGCAGTGGAGCTTTCCTTGTTCACATAAAAATCATCAGGTTGCACAGAAAAGTAAGGAAAACTGAACAAAAAAAAAAAGAACTAGACAATCATTTGAATGTTGACAAGCATTCAACCCATGATGAAAAAGAAGCCCCAAACAAACAAAGCTTGTAATACACGCACAGTCAAACAGAAAATATAAATATTTTTTGTACGTGGTTCTTACCCCATCATATCCCATCTTGTCTACATTGAGTTTCTTTTCAATGTTACGAGCCAGTTCTTGAGTGCGGGACATAATGCCTTTAGTTTTCTCTATTACTTGCTGGTAAACAGAGGGAGCCTGGGTACCCATAACCACATGACCCTGAAATAGAGAAGAAGCTTGTTAAGACAAGTAATTCCCACGAAAGATGAACATGGGAGTCCCAATCCACAAGGGGAACTCCAGATCATGAAGATGGCATTAAAGAGTTACATTTCACACCAAATACAGCCTACAGCCTGTGCAAGTGTTTCTCTGTGGGAAGGTACAAGGCCTTACTTAACATAAACCAGCAAGAGGTCTGCAAAGGGTCTAGCATTGATAATTGATGCCAGACCCCTAGAAACCTCTCCCTGACGCATCTCAAATTTTCCACGAGCAGAGAAACGTGCATCCTGAAGCGCTTATAACAAGTGCCTACCCACACGCTATACAGCCCAGTTTAAAACAGCTTTTTACCCAATATTTTTCATCTGGCACACAAGCTCTGTAGCCCACATTATCAGACTTTATCTCCCATGAAGCAATTAAGGCAAGATTTTCTTCCTCTGGGTAACAAACTACTTCTCCAAAGGCTCTGACTCTTTCAACCTACAGTCCACGGTGCTACCAATTAATTGGTCATCACATCTGTCTTGTGAAATATAATTACAACTGAAAACATTGCATACTGGCCTGTCATTCCTTCACACCCCAACATCAGTATGCATAAACTCCATTGCAAATGTACTATGTATGTTAACAGGCCTTAGACATACCAACTTGGAATCAATTTTAGCATCCAATCTTGCATTTCTGATCAGATTAACTATCCACCTTTCTGCTTCTTCTGGAGTCATATTCAACTTTTCAGCAAGCATGCTGTTAGGAGAGGAAAGCAACATGATATTGTACTACTTGAAAAAATTGCTT